TGAAATCGTACGTGAAAACTGTGAGGGACATTGTTACTCCAGGACAGAAAGGTAGAAGGTTAGACAGGGCGAAGATCATCTGGAATAAGTTAGAAAATGATCCTGTTGAACGTTATTTCAATCCTTGATAAGCTTCCTATCCTTAGCTATGATTAATTAATGATGAACATGCCATTTTCGTTTATGATTGATTTCATCACGATTCTTCTGTTAAGCTTGGAGAGTAATTATATAATCAAAATAGAGTCCAATAGTGTTATAAAAATCTTAGAGAATTCCAGTAAGATATCTTTAATCATTTCTATTTCAAAGCTTAATCTAACAATTTTGTTGTTACACCCGGTATAGATGACATGCATGGTGTCATATTTCTTTAGAATTATCTAAACTCTTAGCTGTAGACAACCTTTTTTTCTTAGATCTATGATCAAAATGACTTCCAGTAAATGAGCCCTGTAGGTCTTATGGAAGATCATTCTTTTTTAAACTTCGTGAATTGGCGCGACAGAATCGCAAACATAAACTATACCAAATAAAAAAAGCCACATCACTTCGGGATTTCCAACAGCAGTAACAGCTAGAATGGATAGCACATATAACGCAAGGAGAACAATATCAAGATGTTAAACGTTTCCCACGACTTCAAACAAAAAGATTAAGAAGGAACCCCCCACATCAATAATGAAAGGAGCTATATGTTCCAAACTTGGGAAACCTATTTCGCTGAAAAATTGTTTTAAGATAAAGATTTTATAAATTTTAAGCGACAGTAAGACTTTTCACTTAATGAATGCCGAACGTTTCCTTATTTAAAGCCAGAAAATATTTTTCAGATTGCAAGACATTTCTTTTAGATATACTAAGTCAAGTCCTACTAATTAACCCATAGTTGGGGGGAACAAGAGGTAAATACGTACCTTAATCAAGGGTATTTGCACGTAAATAAATATAATGGAAACGGCTGGAATTGGAACTCGGGTCCGCGATTTCCAATCCCAACCCGTTATCCATTACACCACCTGCGCGTCCAAGCTTACAGCAACTGCTATTCCGAAGCGGTCGCCCATCAAGGTGCTTACCTTCGGGGATCGTTTCAACGTAATTGTAGCTTTCTGCTCTAGAGGTTAGTTGAGCAACTTTGTCAATTACTGGCTCCTTTAAATATAGCCTTGTACCTTAATTAGTTTAATAAATATTAATACCAAGACTCCAAATACCATTTGGATTCGGCGAAATAATGCCCAAGAGGGGAGCTGAAAAATTCTCTAAATGACCTGATTGCCAAATTTTGATCAAATGATTAAACATCAGATTGTGACCTGAGGACTTTTCAGTGCCCTCTCGAAAATGTCCTCTACAAGACAGGACTCCTATCATTATATTAAAATGCAAGGAGACGATCAGGGTAACTCCCTGATATCCCCAGTGACGAAAGAAGAGAACTACTCAAGGAGAGTAAGCAATTGTAGGTAAGGAATGATAAAACGACTCTGACAAATTTTCCTTCGTAGGGGTGTGTAACTACAAATACCGTGACTGAATTTAAGACAAATTTAACAAACCTACCCACCTACACCCCCGCAAACAAAACGGTGTTTCAGAAAGACAGGAGACAGGTTTCCTCTTGACTCCGTTATGCCCTGTCGGCTAGGGCTTCAGAATACACCGACTGAATCTCTACAGGTGGGTACGCCTCCGCTCCCCAATGAGGCATCCGGGGTAAAACGATTAACGTACAAGCAATTCTAATGTGGATATAAAGTGGGGGATCAATTCTTTATTGCAATCAATATATAGACTGATACCTCACTTTGTAGCTATGGTTGTTGCTATAAATTTATGCAACAGAGAATGTCCGTATCCTGGGTAAGACGATAAACTACATCCGACAGCAAGGCCTCTGATCAGCAGGTTTTTGAGGAGCGTTGAAGCACCTCTTAATTGCTGGGGTTTCCACGTCTACTCTGAACCGGCGTGGTAGCATCTGTTAGGGTTCCAGCTATGGGCAAGTAGTTAACCCTAAAACTGGGGGGTCAAAACACTATGAAAGTATAAAAATAGGTTTTAATATCAACAATACATTTTTGGAAAAAGATTATTACCAGCAATACATTTTTGAAACAAAAAAATATTACCAGCAAGAAATTTTTGAAACAAAAAAATTATTATCTGCAATAGATTTTTGAAGGAAAAAATATTACCAGCAATAAAAATCTTGCCGGCATTAAATAACCCATTGAGGTCTTGATATGCCGTAAAAAAAAACTTGACATCATTATTATTGTATATACCTTCGTTAATTTTTGATTTTTAAAAGCTATTTTTAGAATTTTAATTAAATCGAAATATATGAAACTGGATTTATACATTTTTTTGGGAACTGCAACAAAATATTAAACTATTTATTTATCAGATTGTTTATTGCCATGATTAATTTTTGGAAGTTGATCAAAAAGTATCGGAACTTTTTCTTTGGTAACGAAGTTAATGAACTCAGAGTGAAGTTGCTTGGCACAGATTGACCTTGGACTCTGTCGCACATGTACACTAAGTTATACCATCTTCACTCACTTCCGCTGTTTATAGAAGAGGTTAGGAGGTTGGGTGTGGTCGTTTCACCATACTACAGAGTTTCAATCAGTGATCTTGATTAGTGAAGCAATTTTTTGGCCCAGGACAATATTCCCCAAGTCCGACGAACACCATATTCCACTGATCTCGTCCCTTGCGATGTTTTTCCTCTTCAAAATTCAAATCCGACTTGAAAGCAAGAAGATTTCAAGACCTCGAGGAAATCCACTATCCCATAGAGCAGTTCCAAGCGTGCAGAAGTGGGGTCAGAGGTTGCAATGGCCCCAGACATCAATATCGGGGAGGGCATCCAATCAAAGTGGGAAATAAAAATTTAGTTCATATTTAATTTGAATAAAGTGTTTATTTCATGTTTCATCTGTTTTGACACATTTAAAATGTCTTCTTTACTCACATTTCTCAGTACTAGTACCTATAGGCCTCCCCCTGCTACTTCAGTCTTAGGGGCATACAATCAAGCAGCTGGCCCCGGGGATCACCACACCACTGTTTCTTACCAAAATATTATTTACTGACTTTATTGATTTTAAAACTAGATTAATTTGGGAGCAGTCATAGTAACACCTTTACCAATTTATTAAAAAAAAAATCTTCTATATGTGTACAGTGTTTAAATGCTCAAGAAATGATTAATTTTGAAAGATTTCAATTTTGTTTGCCATCATATTATAATTTTGCTTACCCTCCCCTAGCCCCTTAATTTGTACGACCATTACGTCCTGCCAATACATCATAAAAAAATGAAAAATACTTTTGATACACAGCAGTAGCGAGTAGAGGGTATACAGCCCAGTGCATTCTTTCAAAGAGTGAAATAAAAATTTAGTTTATATTTAATTTGAAGAAAGTGTTTATTTCATGTATCATTTTTTTTTTTTTTTGACATATTTAAAATATTTTCCTTACTCACATTTCTCAAAAGTAGGCACTATAGGAGCTCAATACTTGAGACTTAGGGGCATACAATCAAGGAAGGGCTCCACACTTGAGCCTTAGGGGCTTACAATCAAGGAAGGTCTCCATACTTGAGACTTAGGGACATACAATCAAGGAAGGTCCCCACACTTGAGACCTAGAGGCATACAATCAAGGAAGGTCTCACACTTGAGACTTAGGGGCATACAATCAAGGAAGGTCCCCACACTTGAGCCTTAGGGGCATACAAACAAGGAAGGTCCCCCACACTTGAGACTTAGGGGCATAGAATCAAGGAAGGAACTTGAGCCTTAGCGGCATACAATCAGGGAAGGTCCCACACTTGAGCCTTAGGGCATACAATGAAGGAAGGTCCCCACACTTGAGACTTAGGGGCATACAATCGGGGAAGGTCCCCTTGAGACACAATCAATGAAGGGACACACTTGACCTCAGAGGCATACAATCAAGGAAGGGCTCCACACTTGAGCCTTAGGGGCACGCCACAATCATGGAAGGGCCCACACTTGAGCCTTATGGGGTATACAATCAAGAAGGGCTCCACACTTGAGACTTAGGGGCATACAATCAAGGCAGGGGGTTCAACACTTGAGCGTTAGGGGCATACAATCAAAGAAGGTCCCAACACTTGAGACTTAGGGCAATCAAGGAAAGGCTCCACACTGGAGACTTAGGGGCATACAATCAAGGAAGGGTTCCCTTGAGACTTAGGGACACAATCAAGGAAGGACACTTGAGACCTAGAGGCATACAATCAGGAAGGTCTCCACACTTGAGACTTAGGGGCAGCCAATCAAGGAAGGTCCCCACACCTTGAGCCTTAGGGGCATACAAACAAGGAAGGTCACACTTGAGACTTAGGGGCATAGAATCAAGGAAGGTCCCCACACTTGAGCCTTAGCAGCATACAATCAGGGAAGGTCCCCCAATGAGCCAAGGGCATACAATGAAGGAAGGTCCCCCAGACTTAGGGGCATACAATCAGGGTCTCCACACTTGAGACTTAGGGGCATACAATCAAGGAAGGGACACACACTTGAGCCTCAGAGGCATACAATCAAGGAAGGGCTCCACACTTGAGCCTTACGGGCATACAATCAAGGAAGGGCTCCACACTTGAGCCTTATGGGTATACAATCAAGGAAGGGCTCCACACTTGAGACTTAGGGGCATACAATCAAGGCAGGGTTCAACACTTGAGCGTTAGGGGCATACAATCAAAGAAGGCCCCAACACTTGAGACTTAGGGGCATACAATCAAGGAAAGGCTCCACACTGGAGACTTAGGGGCATACAATCAAGGAAGGGTTCCACACTTGAGACTTAGGGGCATACAATAAAGGAAGGGCTCAAGTATGGCAATCAAGAAAGGGATCTACACATTAGGCTTAGGGCCACACAATCAAGGAAAGGCACCCCAAATGAGGCTTAGGGGCATACAATCGAGGAAGGGGTCAACACTCGAGCCTTACGGGAATACAATCAAGGAGGAACTCCACACATGAGCCTTACGGGTATACAATGAAGAAAGGGCTCCACACTTGGGTCTTCGGGGCATACAATTCAGGCTTAGGTGCATACAATCAAGAAAGGGGTTCACACTTGAGCCTTAGGGCCACACAATCAAGGAAAGGCTCCACACTTGAGCCTTAGGGGCATACAATCAAGAGAGGGCTCCACACTTGAGCCTTAGGGGTATACAATCGAGGGAGATCTCCACACTTAAGCCTTAGGGGCATACAATCAAGGAAGGGCTCCACACTTGAGCCTTAGCGGCATACAATCAAGGAAGGGTTCCACACTTGAGCCTTAGGGGCATACAATCAAGGAAAGGCTCCACACTTGAGTCTTAGGGGCGTACAATCAAGGGAGGGCTCCACACTTGAGCCTTAAGGCATACAATCAAGAAAGGGATCCACACATGAGCCTTAGTGCCACACAATCAAGGAAAGGCTCCACACCTTAGCCTTAAGGGCATACAATCAATGAAGGGCTCCACACTTGAGCCTTAGGGGCATACAATCAAGGAAGGGATCCACACTTATGCTTTAGGGGCATACAATCGAGGAAGGGGTCCGCACTTGAGCCTTAGGGGAATACAATCAAGGAAGGGCTCCATACTTGAGGGTTAGGGGTATACAATCGAGGGAGGACTCCACACTTGAGCCTTAAAGCCATACAATCAAGGTAAGGCTCGACACTTCAGCCTTAAGGGCATACAATCAAGGAAGGTCTCCACCGTTGAAACTTAGGGGCATACAATCAAGGAAGCGCTCCACACTTGAGACTTAGGGGCATACAATCAAGGAAGGTCCCCACACTTGAGACTTAGGGGCATACAATCAAGGAAGGTCCCCACACTTGAGACTTAGGGGCATAGAATCAAGGAAGGTCCCCACACTTGAGCCTTAGGGGCATACAATCAGGGAAGGTCCCCACACTTGAGCCTTAGGGGCATACAATGAAGGAAGGTCCCCACACTTGAGACTTAGGGGCATACAATCAAGGAAGGTCTCCACACTTGAGACTTAGGGGCATACAATCAAGGAAGGGACACACACTTGACTTCAGAGGATACCTCCAACACTTGAGAGGGGCACAATCAAGGAAAATCCACACTGGAGAAGGGCATACAATCAAGGAAGGGTTCCACACTTGAGACTTAGGGGCATTAAAGGAAGGGCAATATGGCAATCAAGAAGGGCATTCCACACACCAAGGAAAGGCACCCCAAATGAGCCTTAGGGGGCATACAATCGAGGAAGGAAGGGCGGGAATCAATCAAGGAGGAACACATGAGCCTTATGGGTATACAATGAAGAAAGGAATTCAGGCTTAGGTGCATACAATCAAGAAAGGGGTTCACTTGAGCCTTAGGGGCCACACAATCAAGGAAGGGTTCCACTTGAGCCTTACGGGCATACAATCAAGGAAGGGCCCCAACACTTAGGGGCATACAATCAAGGAAAGGGTCCACACTGGAGACTTAGGGGCATACAATCAAGGAAGGGTTCCACACTTGAGACTTAGGGGCATACAATAAAGGAAGGGCTCAAGTATGGCAATCAAGAAAGGGATCTACACATTAGGCTTAGGGCCACACAATCAAGGAAAGGCACCCCAAATGAGGCTTAGGGGCATACAATCGAGGAAGGGGTCAACACTCGAGCCTTACGGGAATACAATCAAGGAGGAACTCCACACATGAGCCTTACGGGTATACAATGAAGAAAGGGCTCCACACTTGGGTCTTCGGGGCATACAATTCAGGCTTAGGTGCATACAATCAAGAAAGGGGTTCACACTTGAGCCTTAGGGCCACACAATCAAGGAAGGGCTCCACACTTGAGCCTTAGGGGCATACAATCAAGGAAGGGCCCCAACACTTGAGACTTAGGGGCATACAATCAAGGAAAGGGGTCCACACTGGGAGGGCATCCAATCAAGGAAGGGTTCCACACTTGAGCCTTAGGGGCATACAATCAAGGAAGGGATCTACACATTAGGCTTAGGGCCACAATGAAAGGCACCCCAAATGAGGCTTAGGGGCATACAATCGAGGAAGGGGCGAGCGGGAATACAATCAGGAGGAAGGGTTACACATACTTGAAGAAAGGGGCCTTGGCCCACTTTGGGCATACAAGGGGCATGCAATCAATCAAGAAAGGGGTTCACACTTGAGTCTTAGGGCCGTACAATCAAGGAAAGGCTCCACACTTGAGCCTTAGGGGCATACAATCAAGAGAGGGCTCCACACTTGATCTTGGGGTATACTCGAGGGAGATCTCCACACAATCAAGGAAGGGCTCCACACCTGAGCCTTAAGGGCATACAATCAAGGAAGGGTTCCAACTTGAGGGCATACAATCACACTTGAGCCTTAGGGGCATACAATCAAGGAAGGGATCCACACTTATGCTTTAGGGGCATACAATCGAGGAAGGGGTCCGCACTTGATCCTTAGGGAATACAATCAAGGAAGGGCTCCATACTTTAGGCTTAGGGGTATACAATCGAGGGAGGACTCCACACTTGAGCCTTAGGGCCATACAATCAAGGAAAGGCTCGACACTTCAGCCTTAAGGGCATACAAACAAGGAAGGTCTCCACCGTTGAAACTTAGGGGCATACACTCAAGGAAGCGCTCCACACTTAAGCCTTAGGGGCATACAATCAAGGAAGGTATCCACACTTGAGTCTTAGGGGTATACAATCAAGGAAGGGCTCCACACTTGAGCCTTAGGGGCACACAATCAAGGAAAGGCTCCACACTTGAGCCTTAGGGGCATACAATCAAGGAAGGGATCCACACTTGAGTCTTAGGGGCGTACAATCAAGGGAGGGCTCCACACTTGAGCCTTAAGGCATACAATCAAGAAAGGGATCCACACATGAGCCTTAGTGCCACACAATCAAGGAAAGGCTCCACACCTTATCCTTAAGGGCATATAATCAATGAAGGGCTCCACACCTTATCCTTAATGGCATACAATCAAGGAAGGGCTCCACACTTGAGCCTTAGGGGCATACAATCAAGGAAGAGATCCACACTGAATCTTAGGGGTATACAATCAAGGGAGGGCTCCACACTTGAGCCTTAGCGCCATACAATCAAGGCAGAGATCCACACTTGAGCCTTAGGGCCACATAATCAAGGAAAGGCTCCACACTTGAGCCTTAAGGGCATACAATCAAGGAAGAGCTCCACACCCTAGCCTTAGGGGCATACAATCAAAGAAGGGATCCACACTTGAGAATTAGGGGCATACAATCAAGAAAAGGGTCCACACTTGAGCCTTAAGGCCACACAATCAAGGAAAGGCTCCACACTTGAGCCTTAGCGGCATACAATCAAGAAGGGATCCACACTTGAGCCTTATGGGCATACAATCAGCGAAAGGCTCCACACTTGAGTCTTAGGAGCATACAATCAAGGGAGGGCCCCACTCTTGAGCCTTAGGGCCACACAATCAAGGCTTGGATTCACACTTGAGCCTTAGGACCGCACAATCAAGGAAAGGCTCCACACTTGAGCCTTAATGGCATACAATCAAGGAAGCGCTCCACACTCTAGCCTTAGGTGCATACAATCAAGGAAGGGCTCCACACCTGAGCCTTTTAATAACACCAGACGAAAATATACACTTTCCTCTTTACTAAGTGAGTGACAAATTAAACTCTCTCTGCCTCTCTTCTCTATATTTCCTTTTCTTTCCTTCTATTGTTCCTCTCCTCGGTAACGGACATGAACCCGGACTTATTTTATATGGGTCAGTGATCATCACAAAAAAATCAAACAATTACAACACGTCCCGCCAAAAATCAAACTGAAACACGAATGTGTCAGCCCCAGTATAAAGAAGAAAACTATCAGGTCATCCCATAAGTTCTGTCCGAATTTTGAATAACGATAACAAGTGACCAAATGTTTCATTTAATTACAGATTCAATCAACAATGTATTTTCCCTGATTATCTATGACTTCCTTCCATCTATTAACAAGCTTACTAATTCCATTACTGTAAAATTCTTTTGGCTTTGATTCGAAGAACTCACAGATGTCAGTTTTAACCTCTTCCTGTGTTACAAAAGCTGTTTCTTCCAAATGATTCTGTAAGCTACGAAACAAATGGTAGTCTGAAGGAGCAAGATCGGGAGAATATGGTGGATGAGGAATTTTCTCCCAACCAAGTTCTTCGATCTTTTGTAACGTGATTCTTGTTGTGTGGGGTCGCGCATTGCCCTGATGAAACATCACCCCTTTTCGATTCACTAGAGCAGGTCTTTTTTTCCTCAAAGCTTGGTTCAAACGCTCTAATTGCTGACAGTATATTTGAGCATTAATTGTTGCATTAGGTGGTAAGAATTCAAAGTGGATTATTTCTTGGCGATCCCACCAGATTGAAAGAACCTTTTTCCCATGAAGTTCCCTTCTTGGATGTGGCTGGGGTCCTTCCCCTTTACCAAGCCACTGTCTACGATGCTTAACATTTCGATAAAAGATCCATTTTTCGTCGCCAGTGACAAGTCTATCCAAAAAAGGTGAAACAATTGGCGAGAATGGAGAGAAGGGCAGATGTCAACTCGGGATTTGAGGTTGTTTTCAGACAATTCATGAGGCACCCATTTTCCAAGTTTAGAAACTTTTCCAAGTGGTTGAAGATGACGATGAACAGTTGTATGGTTAGAACTGAGAACCACTGCCAATTCCTCAACTGATAAAACAGGATTTTCTTCGAGGTCTGCTTCAAGAAGCTTTTTCATCAAACTCTACTGGACGTCCGGTTCGATCTTTATCTTCAAGGGTGAAATCTCCACCTCTGAATTTTTACAAACCATCTTCTGCAAGTTCTTTCATCCACACATTCCTCTCCATAAACTGAGTGAATATTTCTAGCCGCTTCGGCTGCTGAGTTTCCTTTCTTGAACTCATAAGGCATTATATGCCTCAAATGATTCTTGTGTACTTCCATGTTAGCAGGGTTTTAATCAAACAAAATTTAATTTTATTGTTCTCTGAAATAAAATTTGATCAGTTTAAATGCATCTAAACATAAA